CTTCTTTCTTCCTACTAAATGTCAATGAAGTTGTCCCTAGGTACTGACATTCCTGGAAATATAGCAAAGTAGTAACAGAGGACAATCAGTTTAGCTGTGCTCTGCAGGGCATTCTAACAAAGGACACCACGTGGCTACATCCAGAAACAAGAGTCATCCTTTGTGAGTATTCATAATTCCTGCACTGGAGAGACAAAAAATTTTTACTCTTCTTTCAGTCTTTCAGTTAGTGGATTCATGGCTTGCCACACCCATTCTGCCCTTGTTGTACTTGCAGACATCTTTTGTATCCCACTGAGTTGCCTGGCTGCTGGTGAGGGTTTATCTTCATCTTCAGAAGACAGTAGTAACCATAAAGTATCCTTACAATATCCTTCTGAATTAGACACTGAATGGATTAGCAACAATTAAGTACTGCTGGTTGACTCTACAGTTCTGTGTGTGCCAAATCGAAATTATGATACTTTCTTTTTTCCACTTCTTGTCTGGTATATTTAAACTTCATGCTTTCCAGGGTAGCATTTGTCTCATTAGCTGTTTGCACAATGCTTAGTGCCGTGGCATATTACTTTCACATAGAGCCCCTGGGCACTTCCAAAGAGCTGCTGGGTTTACCTAAGGATACAAGGGTATGTCGATAACAGACAGAACCTGATTTATTCTACTTGCTGTCTGTGCAAGCCAGTTTCCAAAGGGAAGCAGCACAGGTACACAAAGCCATTAGCACCACACGGAGTGAATTTCATCAAGTACAGCAACTTGCTAGCGTATGCAGGGCTTCCAGCCTGATTCACAGTTTGGTTCACGGGCAGAGTGGAGGGTGTGCGTATGCGTGTGGCTTTATCTGCACAAGCCCATGCAGTTATGCCAAAAGATAGGTTGAAGATAAGTTTGTAGCTTTCATTTCAGGCATTATTAGACTGTAGTCTTCAAAAGGAAACAATAAACACCATTAATAAAAATAGCAACCCTTCTGGCCTAGTAAACAGAGCTCATATACGTTGATAGTATTCTACTGGCAACAATGCACTCCATATGCTCGTAAAGGTTACAGGCTACATTTCCATATAAACAGTCAAGACAGCGAACTTCAAATATTTGGAAGAAATGTTTATTTAACAACTGAATACATGCTAAAAGAAATAATTTACAGCAGCAGTTTCATAACATTTTTTTCTCTCCAGTTTTCTAGTTCCCATCTGAATTGAAGTGATAAATACAGGAGTAGAAATTATTTACTACCCAGTGAGGAATGCACTTAAAGAATAAGCACATAACTTTGGCACTGATATAGCAAATAAACCACCTTATCACCTGTGTGGCAAAATCTTGCATTTTAGTATTATGCTGAACACACCGAAATGGAGTACCTCTAGATAACAGTACTTTACACTGTACCTCTTTATCTAGTCAAAAATATTTACATCTCTTTTGGCTAATGTGTAGGTAGCAAAAACTGAACTATTAAACACATACCATTGATATTCACTAAATAATACATAAAAAGGATCAGTAAATGCGCATTCACATGCATTTAATTTAATTTTCTTTTTTTACATAGTGATTTTATTGGGTCATGAAGATTTAACTCTGTTCTGCAAAGATGCACACTTTCTCAGTTTGATGTTACAGTTTAACGTAACCATACAGTTTTTAGAAGCCATTGAACAAATTCCCATCTTCAGTGATCCATGCAAGTACAAACTATAGATGCGGAAGAATAAGATTCAATGCATTTTTGTTCCTTGTAAATGGATATCTTAAAACAAATTGGAATAGATCTTTCTGGTTATAAATGAAATCCTTTATTTCTCTCCAGCTTAAACACAACTTTTTACTCACTTTTTCTAAAGTCTGTAACTAGAGGTTTAGAGGATTTTACTCATGATTTACAGAGATATCATTTTTACCTTGATCTGTCTTCAATGCTTATGTTGCTTTAAACAACAATGACACAAATGGGGGCATAAATTTTACTGAAGCTGCAGGACACCTTTCTGTACCTGAATTCATTAAAAGCTGTGTTCTTTGAAAAATTAATTTCACATCAGTATTAAATGCTGATTTAATTTGACCATAATATGAACCTGAAAATGAAAAATTTCCACTGCTGGCTTGATCTTCTGCCCTCTTATTTATATAAGCAAATACAAAGACATAAACAATAGTACTCATGTCAGTGAGGACTGGGTTGAAGTTTGCAAGATCTGATCATATCAATTGTCCGATTAGACTGCCAGGTTATCGTAAAAACATTACAACTTCTGTAATTTTGTTCCCACAGATAATCTTTCTCTGTATAGAAAAACGTATCTTAGACTTAATTTAATTTGTTTCTTCTTCAGGGGTAGTGAAAGAGGTTGGTTTTGGTTTGATTTTTTTTTTTTTTTCAGCAAGTTGCTATAGAACCAGTTGCTATGAGCATGGTAGAGAAAAAAAAGAAACTTCAATAGTAATTCCACTAATATGTAAAAAGGGAAACAAAGCCATTTAGGGTCTGTTGAAATCAATCTGTATTTTGCCCACTGAATTCTCTGAGGTTCATTTAAAAACTGTTTCCTTTTGTAACAAAGAGGATTCTAATGACTTGATGGTAAACAACAGTCCTACACAAAAGGCTAAAGAGTGTTCTGTGATTACAAGTAAATAATTCAGCTGACAAGAATGCTCAGAAATCAGTCATAAGATGAGCTGAAAAATTAATACTTCTGTACAGGAAAGCACATAGTTAAACCTATGTTTTAATTCATCCCTATTCAGCACATCCTGAAAGTATGGGAATTTAACAGCATATTAAAGTTCACAGGAGTCAAGTTAAACAACAGAGAGACTTAAAGTTGCTTTAAAACTAAATTCCTAAGTGCTTTCCTAAATCATGGCCTTACAGTCTTGTCCTGGTCTATTCAATAATTTTTTTGCTAAAGAATTAAATGAGAAAAAAATCTTGCAAGTTCACCCCCTGCAAAAGATTCAAAGGGGACTAAAGTGACTGGGTCATTAAAGAAAATCCAATTGCTATGGAGGCAAGAAGCCAAGGCTTCATTAATCAGAAGGATACTTGAATTAGTGAGTGGCAAGGAGACTGGGACGTGTTGTGAGAGATGCTGTCACAGCAGTTGTGTGTTATATTGTATCTGATAAGGCTGATAGTGTAGTGATTGGTAAGTTAAATAATCTGGAGTGAATAACAACAAAACAGATCAGTCATCAAGACAGACACACTTCTATATAAAAGCTTCTTTAACAAACTAAGGACTTTGTTCTAGCAATTTTTCCCACAATGACATTACTCAAAATTATGCCATTTATGAACTCTACCAAGATAAAATATGGGAGGCTGGAGAATGATGACCTCAAAAGAACTGGACACCATAGAACTGGGGACCAAAGGCACATCTGTGCTGAGGTGAATAAATCCACTACTTATAACACTAAACTGACACTTAACGGTGCAAGTACATTGTCTGTTTTACCCTGTTGCTCTCCTGTATACAGAATATGACAGAAGTGCAAGGACCAAATTATCTGTTAGTATAAACTAGTCTTAAGCTGAACTTCACCAATTCACTGCTGCATCAGATTTCACCTACCGATAAAACCGTCCCCTAGATCTTAAAACAGAGAGCTGATTTTGAGGTTACTATTTATGTGACCTAGTGCTGGTTCTTTGCATTTGGGTGATCTGGCCCACAGAAAAAATGGAGCACTGAGAATCAGTAGTGTGGACATATTTCTACCACTGAGCTGGGAACAAAACTCCTTAAACTGAATGTGAGCTTTGCTCATGGATATACGACAGTCTATGAGCCACAGTATTTAAATATTAGCATTCACAAATATTTACGAACCAAGAAAGCAAGAGTGTAATTAGTAGAGGGTATTTTAATGCTATTTACTCTTTTTAATTAAAAAAAAAATGTACAACTGAAAAGCAATGTTCTCCTCTTCATTGGTTCAGTCTATAGCAAGGTATCATACAGGTTGAATCATTTCAAATACCATACTTAGAAAAAAAGAATGCAGAAGAATTCCATGCTATACAGTGACTTTCGTGTTAAAATAGCTTAGTTTTAGAATTGCTTTGAAGTTACATGTCATACAGATTACTGCAATAGAGGGGAGGAGGTTAACTGTAGTGTGACTAGCTCCCCTGGAAGATTTTCCAAACAAAAGAGTAAAGCAGCTCATAGTTGGAAGTTGTCTTTTTTTCCTCTACACCAATAATTAGAAAGTACAATATTTCTAAGACAAAAAGTCTAATCTATTTTATAAAAGAGCTAATGTCTGCTGCTTATTTTTCATGGTACATTTAAATTATAGTTTTAATAAAATACATCTTTAGAACAAAGCCGAAAGAAGTCATCAGTAGTAGGCCAGTGTACTCCACATTTTTTGTTCTTCCTGATGATGAATGACTTATGTTGTTCAAATTTCCACAAACAATCTCATTCAGTATTGTTTTTCCTTTTCTAGTACATATAAACAGGAGAACTGGTAGACAAAAGAAGAACAAAATCCTTGTGTCCAATCACGTGTTTCGATGTTCATCACCTTAATGAGTTCATGCAATCTTATGTATAAGTCTGGAAATGGTAGTGCTGCTGATGAAAGGTGAGCTTTGTTTTCCTTTTCTTTAAGATGGCAGCATGAAATGCAGCATTTTCTTTGCATCTCAGGCAAAAGAGAAAGCAAAATCTGCCTGCT